TTCCCTTTGGACTTCCTTTGGACTCGCTGAATCATTACGTAAGGGGAGGAAGCGGTTCCGTGCCGTGTGTGCCAACACGTTCATCGTGGGGGCTGCACAAGATAAATTGACTTGATTTTGACCCAAAAAATTAAATAAAAAATAAATAAATAAAAATAATTTGCCTGCCGAACTTTAAGCCGGCCGCAACCAAGATCAGGCATGTTGTCATATTCTGTCGGGATTAGGCCTGATCTATGACCAAGATCTCTATCGGGTCCTTCATAATATTTCATTCTATGATGATATAACATAGCCCAAATAGTTAACTTAAGGTCCGGAGTTGATCTAATGGATAGATGGTGATTTCAATCTTTGTATGGATCATCTCTGGATTTCTATCCCCACCCACTTGCATGCATTCGGAGACTGAGGATAGGTTGGTGGGTACTGTGAAACCGAGCGTTCGTGGTGATCCAACAACATCCTGATGAATAGCCCACTGCTTCGTTTATCTGCTCTGTTCATGAACCAACATTCTCAATGATCTCAACTATCAAGGCCGGTGAGTTCAGCCAAGGACATGTTAACATCCGTATGTATGTGCTGTACTGGCTGTACGGAGTACACAACGGTTGTATTATTATTTTTGTTACATGTTATCGGCAGTTCAGTATCCAATACAGCTGTGACACGGGAGTGTATAGAGGTCCTGCCGATGTCAAGGTGAACTCGTGCTAGCCTCATAGGGCGATGGTGCTGGGAGGCTTGCCCCAATGAGCCATGGCCAGCAGTGGCTGGGAGCCATGATACCACTTCACCCTTGACTCGAAGAGCGAGAAAAATGGATTTGAACGTGGGGTTTATGACACATGGAAGGGGATGATTCTCGGAGACATGGAACCGTCTACTGACTACATACCTGGCTGGGAATTCCACGGTGACGTTTTGAAGGGCTTCCCAGGTTTCTTCGGGTAACTCACCGGGTAGCCAACCGGGGAGCTTGGCTCGCCAATTCAGCAGATCTTCCAGCGGTTGAAACACAATTTACAAGCCGAGTCACTCGCCAGCCGATTTTCATTTGGTGGAATGAGATCTTTCTGGCAACCAGTTTACGATGGAATGGCTGTGCTGGATTCATGGAAGCTAGCCATCTTATCCTAAGATTCAATGGAAATTGTATTCAGCATCCATTGATGTCCAATAAAAAATACCTTCTAGATAGTTATAATCTTCGGGACTGGGGATCTCAAAAGTTTAGTGTCTTCTATACTCCGCATAATTAACATATTGATCATGGTTTTTGTATTGTATTTCTTTCTCATCTCTACAGGGTATTTCAGGTGTAAAATCAAATCAGTGTCTTAAAGATCACTTCGTTCTAGTTCGTAAATTACTTAATTCACTATTAGCTACACCCAATGATTGAGCTGTTTCACAATTATCTTTAATAATTCTACATTTCGAAAAATGAAAGATTAAAGATGAATAGAGGGTGAGATTAGTCGATATTGTTTTTCAATGTGATAAAAAGAAATTAAGAAATCACAGATGAGTGGGCTATCAGTATTGTAGAGAAGGTATGGATGGAACGAAATTTGAGGTGTGTTATAATATATTACTAGTATTCAGGTCAATTGAGCATCAATAGGCGACTCGCGGAGTATAGAACTAATACTGCACTTACCAACTCAGCAAGAAAAATGTATATGCTCCGGACAAAAGTACCGAGCATCAAGTGGCGATGTGTATTGGACTATGTAACTCGTGAACAGTCTATGTTCTAGCTATAGCGCATATTTCGTTTTTTTCCCTTACACAGAGCATTTACTGATTAGCTAGTATTCTGCTCTTGGTCCGTCTTCATTTGCCGAAAGGTTTTCCAATTGGAGGAATCGACAAGGTAGTGGCCAGAGCTATTCTTCTGTCTCTGAAAACGCACCTGTAACGGTAGGCCCTGGTTCGCAGGACGTCTGGTGGCTGCTTGTCAGGATTGTGTCAGGCGCGGTTGTCTTCTCAACCGCATGAACCCTTTCTCTTATCCTTCTCGCTTTCATTAATGAAATTATCCCAGTAAGCGGGACAGAATTCAGCTAGTGTTATATAATCCAGCAGAATAACTAATTAGTTACGGATCTGTAGTTAGTTCTAGCTTTCTTCGAAATTTAATATCATATCTTACTCCTCCTTTTCAAATCATGAGAAGCGTGTTTCAGCCAATGATATGCCGTCCAAGACATTGCTTTGTTTGTTATCATCTTGCAGAATCTTTTTATTATTTAACTTAGTCTTTCAGTTGTAAACCGTTTAATTTTTGAATAGTAAGTAAATTTTCTTTTCATATCTTTTGTAGCTCGAGAAATTTTTTACATACGGATTATATCAATGCTCTGGGAGCTAGGCAGTCCACTTTTGAAGTTGGCTGCGCTCCATCAGGCTCAATTTAATCTCAGTTGTATTTTCCATCCCAGTGAACCGCGATCGGTTCCACATTTTGTCGATGTTGGGTGTTCGAGACATCGGAAAGAATGACGGCGATATTTCTGGTATGCGGGGGCCGAGACACCAAAAGATCGAAAAATCATCTCAATGGTACTGGACTGGCTGTGCTACCCCCAACAGTCTTAATTCGCCGCTTTCGATCAACTCTCTTCATGACATTCTCCATTCCTTGAACTATGTATCACGCTCACTGCCCTTTGTTGGCGCCACATGTCCAACAACGCAAGGGATTTCCGTTACCAGAGCCTGCAGTCGAGGAAGCTCCATGATGATTATGACACGTCTCGCCACAACAAAAGCCCTCGCAATCGTGATTGTTTGATGTTATGCAGGCGTTCCATTTTGCTATCACACTTGAACTTGGCTATTGGCTAGTGGACTGGAAGCAAAATCCGGTGCGACGATGCTGCACGTCGCCCATCCCGTCATATGCACTGTGAACCACATCGCAAAAACATTCCGAAAATATGCAGAATGTGATTCAAATTTAGCTTTCTTTCTTTTATCCCCTTTCCAAGATTAACACCTTTAATTATTGTACTTTGACTTCTCGATGCAAAGCCAAATGGCGCCATACATCAATTGGATTATATTGCAGCCCAGTGCCATAAATCAACTAGAGCGATGGCCAACGACCACGAGTATTCAACAAGGAAACCTTGGAAGACCTAGAGAGGCGTAGTAAATAAGTCCTTAGAAATTCAGACGGTACGCACGTTACATCCCAGTCAGCAAGCCCTTCTAAAATAGTTAGTGTGGGTTTGGAGGCTTGCAGCCTAAAGCTTGGCTGCAAAAATTCGCCATCTCTGAAAGACCCAATCGTTACAATTGTGACGACTGGATTTGTGTGAGCGAGCTGATATTTTTCATTGATTTTCGAGTGCCGAATGACTTATTTTTCC